GAGAACGACTTGCGTTTAATCAATGTGCTACGGGAACAGTTAGCAGTACGCCTTAAGACATTTGCTGTTGGAGACGGAGCATCTATGGGTATGCCCGTGTGCTATGATGTCGATTCCTAAATCAGTAAATCCACAAAGCATTCTAGTGGTCACAACATGTTCTATTTTCCCTCTTCTCATAACATGGCCAAAAATGTATGGCTGTCTCTTTTTGATGTTTAAGATAAGTTGCCTTCGAGCACTCACCTTTTTTAAAACACCTGGACAGCTCTTCTTAGCTTTCCAAGGATTTTTCTGTGAAACCACGTTCTTAATTCTTATGTAATTAAAACAATACAAATACAAGGTAAAGAAGTTGACGTAACCTCTTCATTTTTTTCTGCTCTACTGCTTGTCCCGTAAAGGGTCACCGAGAGGAGCTAAATGTGGTTTCATGCCTTTTGATTAGTTGCGTAGCTTGTGTTAACGTCATACTGTTTTGCTGTAGAGTGTCGTGTACTCCCTGCGTCCATTTCTTTCGTGGTTGACCTCTTGTTCTATAGCCTGCCGTTCTTATATAGTATGCTCTAGGTAATTGCCAAAAACTACAATTACTCCATGTGTTTCATAATTTTTGCTACGAAGGCGGGTGGTGTGGGGGGAAGGAAGGAGGGGGATGGTGAGTCTTTGAGCCTGAGAGTACTTGCATGGCTAGTACTGTCGCCACAGATTGTGCAGGTCATCATTTTCTTTTTTGCTCCCAACAAGAAAAATAAATAACCACAATCTTATCGGGTAGTCAAACCCCGGTCTTTTGTATGAGAGCCCAGCGTTCTTAACCGTTCGGCCACTCTAGGTAACAATGATGCTAAGATGGATTAAGGTAAAACACGAATGGGACAGAAGAGGTAAGAAATTGATATCAGGTATAGTGTAACAAACAAACGTATGACGAATTGTTTAGTTCTAAAAGTTATACGCGTTGGCAGAAGAGGCGGTACATCTGTGGTTGGTGAGATTGAGTGTCGAACAAAGAATTAATATCATATCACTTTGAACATTCCCTAGGCGCTCCGTCCTGATGTTTAGCTGTCAGCGAAGAGTTCCAGTTCCATTAGTAACAGTGGCAGTTTGATTCTATGTCCGTTTTACCTTCTGTCTGAGTGTAGAGTGTCGCCCAGAACCCCTGGTCACTCGTAGCTGCTCCATTATCTCCAGACGATAACGCTCTATTCGTGCTTCCACCTTGTAAACTTGCTCGCATAGAGCCTTGACCATATCTAGCTTGTCATGTATAAATTCCCCACCCAATGGTGCAGAGCCAGACAGTCTGTCTGCTAGTTCATTTCCCAACACTTCTTCATAACAGGGAGAAGATATCAAATGAACACTAACTACCCGGGAGATTAACTAACTGCTGAGATTAAAATTGTGAAAGACTGCTACGGGGGCGAAGTCTGCACAGATCAACCACTGAATGATGTCGACAAAGCAGTCTTTGTTAAATGATAACCATAACTGAATACAGAAGCAACGCTTTCGGTAAAAACAAATATTATCAATGAGTCTTTCAGTGCACAATGACTGTACAGTTATTTGGTCCACATTTGCCAGTAAGCATTTTTAGGTAAAGCTAAGGTAAAGACTAGAAGATATCTTTTTTTTTTTTGTAAAGCCAAAAGTGTCAAAGGGGCGTCGTTAAAACAGTTTTTGTTTAGTATATTCTATGTAGTTGTAGTAACGAAGCGGCTGTCCCACCTCCTGTCGGTCAGGTAGCCATGAGTTGAAATCTTTGAAGTTTGAACAACGGATCAACATCATAGCACACGGGTAGTAACCCATAAGTGCTCCGCTATTCTTCTAACTCAATTCTGAGTCTGAAGAAGGTCAGCACAGTGCACAGGCACTGCAGCACAGGCGAGAATTCTGAAAAACTTTGGGTAGATTTTAAACTCCAAATTGTGTCCGGGCAGCGCAGTTAGGCTACTCTATTCCATTTCTAACTGCCAATGGAATTTTTTTACGTGCGAAACAACGCACACGGGCTTCCCATATCACTACCAAGAGACCAGTGGAAATACTAGAAGTTCACGTCCACGTGAAAAATCCCAGCTCTTACCAGGGACTTAACCCGTAACCTTTAGCACTCGATGCGGACACCATGCCCGAGACCACGCACCCACCCCCTCCCCCGAGTTGAAATCTGAATCGAGGAAGAATTTAAATATCAAGCTAAGCTGCGGTATCAGCACTGCTTTAAATGGTATGTGAAAATGTCACACAAAGTTAAAGGCAGTCAACGTGATGCATAACGAAGTGTACATGGAACTTTTATTTACTTGTCTAGCACCAGTTTTCTTTGTGGCAATGACGTCGATTGGACCCTTTACTGTACTACTGCATTATTGACTAAATGCCCTTACTCTAAATTTTGGGGGTGTTGAATTCGTATATTACAGTGGTATTTTTACTCTAACTGCCACATTGCAAGATTTTACTTCAATATTCAATTCCAGATTTCACTGTATTCTTCTATACTAGAAGCAAAAAGACCTAAGTATCAAGAAAAATAAAGAAAAAGAGTTCGTTAGGCGGGGACTAGAAACATAAATATTCTAGCCCAGCCATGAGATCTTTTGTATACAGTCTAGGTAGCAGTAATAAATAAACTAGCCACACTATTAACCACGTTCTAATCTGAATCAAACAACTGGAACTATAATCGCCACATTCAACATCTGTTTATTTCACTGAACATAAGACAATACAAAGAGCTGTTCACAAATAATACATTAACAACAACCAAAGTGCCAAACGCTTCACTAATAAAATAAAATATCCCCGAGCGATGATACACACTGATATATCTCTATGCAGTTAAACTACTAGAGACAGATTCTGGGCTAACTTTAGAAACGTACCGCCATTATCATCGTCAACAAGCCAGACAAACCGTTCATCACCACGCAGTTGTTCGAACACTTGCTGCTGAGCAAATGTACCGTACATCAACCGCTGGCTGAGCGAGGTCTCCTGTCTCCCGAGCGCCCTGTGGGTTAAGTCTGAAAGCCAAAATGAGGCTGTTTCCCCCCCCCCCCCTGTCTAGTCCTTTTTATGCACAATGGTCAGGTATTTTTCACAAGAGAAATCAAACCCAATCATAATATCCGTCATTCAAACTAAAATCAAGTTAAATTCGTCGTAGCCTGCTCACACTTCCATTCAATTTTCCAGTTATTATTTTTAAAACTTAAAAGTATTATGATTACTACCACAGGACGAGTTCTGGATATACGTAGTGTCTTCTGTCTGTCACCCCCCCCCCCCACATTTTGTCACCCTTTCTTACCCCCGGACTGTCACCGAAATGTCTGACGATCACTAGTGCTTAAGGATTCGCATCTTGGATGGAAAATCAACAAAGACAATCTAAGATGCCCCATTTAACCTCCTAGAAGGTTATAAACAGGGTACCAATAACGGTCACACTAGTTATTAAAGTTATACACGACGGCAGAAGAGGCGGAACATCTGTGGCTGGTGAGATTGAGTGCTGAACAAAGAATTAACATATCACTTTGAACATTCCCATAAGCGCTCCGTCCTTATGTTTAGCAGTTAGCGAAGAGTTCCAATTTCCATTGGTGCCAGTGACAGTTTTTCAAAGTGATTTGATGTTAATTCTTTGTTCAACACTCAGTCTCACCAGCCTCTTCTGCTGTCGTGTTAAACCCTTTCAGGGGGTTAAGCATTATAGGCCCAATGGGTAGTCACATCTTGCATTTATTGGGCTGCTAGGTAGGAGCATATGAACGCATGCTAGTTTCCCAGGGACTGAAAGAGTTAAAGTCGTACAATTACAATCATTGGGGAATTATATGGTTAAAGTGTGATGTAGAAAAATGGATTCAAAATGAGGACTATATCAAGAGCTGAAACGAGGCGCAAAAATACGCAGACAATAAAATAAAACACAGAAACCAGGACAGACGATACCAGTGAAAATATAAATGGTTCCGAGTAGTTTGAGGACGCTTGCTCTCATTTGGGAGATCCAGGTTCGAATCCTAGGTCTAGACAAACAATAAAATCCTAACCCACGCAGTTCGTAGTGACTGAGCTAGCCACACAGCCCAAAATCTTCAGACTCAAGTAACCCCTACTCCCCCTTTGTTTTTCTTCTTCATTCCCCCTCCCACATCCCTCCGCCATAAAAAAAAAAAACAGTAAGTAAAGACATAAACAGCTGTACTACAGTACTCACACACATTGTTATGGTCGGCTCAACACTAGACAGACAGAATGCAGACAGACGAATAGATAATTAAACAGACAGTTGAAAGAGAAGATACAGACAGATAAAAAAAAGGTAAAGTCGGGAGATGTGAACCAGCGTCATTGCACACGGTTATAAACCATAACTGCTCTGCCACCAGTACGGACAGCTGATAAGAAACTGTCCGCCTGTGTCGCCGTCCGCACGAAACTCCGTAGCTACAGCGAATTTCCTCCATTTACCCCCGAGTGTTAACTCTGGTACCCATTACCTAGAGCCTAGAGGCTGGGTGAACCCTGGGAACCGCACGGTTTCGAACACCGGCCGTGTGCTGCAGCGAGTCACAGCTGGATTTGAAAGCGAGTCACAGCTGGATTTGAAAGCGAGTCTCCTATCGACTGCGCTAACGCGGTCACTATCAGACAAATAAATACATAGATACGTACATATATGGATGCATTCAAAGATTCAGCAAAAATTATAAGATAAAGAAGTAAGTAAGTGAGTAAGCAAATATTACCCTACCAGGACATCAAACAGAACGATAAATCCCGATGCCACAAAGTGCCACCACGCGGATGAGGATCACCCGTGGAGAAGTCATGGGCTGAGTTCAACCGTTAGGTTATATTGCGACCCCAGGCAACAGCCAGGGTGGGGCTTGAAAATAACGAACAATTGCAACCCACAAGGAGAGATGATGAAGTTAACGGCAATTCATAAAGAAGTCAAACTGGTTTCTCTCTTAATAATCCACATGACTGGGCCCCTCGGCCTTTGATTGATACGCCTGCCAATTGTTTAGAGCCGGCAAAAGATCCTCCAATGGAAACTGAGGAAAGTACTTGGCATAGGCCTCAATTAGCGGTTCTAGTCCCTGACAGGTAGTTTGGTTGCTAGAGTTACTGTTGTCAGCAGACGTCTCCTTCAGTATAACCGATTTGACTAACTCTCCTTCGTCGTTTTCTTGCAACAACTTAGCGTTAACGATACCCACTAGTCTGCCATTTGAAAAGCGAATAGCTCTTGGGCTAGTATGAAATGGAAGTTTTGTAACATTGGTAAAACATACATCAAAACATGGAAAGAATTCTTCCAGGTTTCTAAATCTTTCTGTTGGGTCGAAGTAATAAAATAAATTCCATTCAAGATTTTCTGCATTGTTGTTTGTGATGCCGGATTGCGACTCTCCTGATACAGTACTGTTACCTTCTGAGTTTAGCTTGTTGGTATTTAAAGTGGCTTCTTCCCGTTTTTCCTTGGAAGCTTGTCCTTCAGGACTTGATGCAGACGGATGTGGGTCTTTCTTAACTGCCTGAAGCACCATAATCTTGTTTGGAGATTCTTTCTTGAGCTTGTAAGTCAGGATAGAATCTTTGAATACTGAAGATTCATCTTCAAAATCTAAAGGAATGGGGCGGGGATGTAAAAACCCATACCTACATCCACAAGATGAATGTCACCTTTCGAGACAAGGTCGTGAACCAGAACGACCAAATGGTTATCGCGATCAAACCCCGCTACGGTTGAGTGAGACATAGTTACATCAAAGCCAAGGGAAGAAAGTAATGCGTACATGAACGTATTGTGCCAGTAGCAAAGACCGCCTTGACGTAAGAGCATGTTGTTTTTGATTTCCTCCCAAGATGGTCGATGTCTGTCCTTGACGTCCTGCGCCATCAGGGTGATGCTTTGGAAAGGCTGTCGTTCCAGATGAGCCTTAAGGATGCTGGAAATGAAAGCTATCTTTGATGAAGCTGGTAACGATGAGACATCTGGTAATTCTATGATGGGAACTTCCAAAAGGTCACGAACCAAATGAAGGGTCTCATCTTTGTTCAGTAAAGCCATCCTAAATTAAAACAAACAAAGGTCAGCAAAGTCACCCTAGACAAAAACAAACAAAAGGACAATTCCTAAGTAAAAATAATCACAACCCTAAACCCATTCTTGTAAAACAAAAAGGATGAGGGGTGGCCCGGGGGGGGGGGGGGAGGGGGGGGAGAGTCTTGGGATGGGGTAATCCAAAAAATGGGGGAGAGTAAAGCTTTCCTAAAATAAAAATAAAAACAAATGTAGTAAGTAAAAAAAAAAAAAAAAAAAAAAAAAATGCGGTAGTGTATGTTGTTATCTGCATAAATGTGACTCTTTAAAAAGTAGCATTGCATATGCATGTTAGCTATTGTAACCCCACGTGGGACGCAAGTTGTTGTTTTAAAGCCCTACCCTATCTATTCCTGGGGATCCTAATATAACCCAACCTATGAGTTGAACAGAGTTTCTGGGACCTACCCCTTGGTAATCATCATCCGAATAGTGGCACTTTGTGTCACCACGTGTTTATCGCTCGATGTGAAGTCCTGGTGGGTTGAACGTCATCATCATCATCATAATTATGGAGACATAGTTTCATACAGACGTGACACTAGAGTGGAATATACACAGCACCAAACATCACACCATATCAAGGGGCGTGATTCAAAGTTATTAGAGGTTATATAAATCAAAAACATGTTTTCCTGTGTTCACCATCATCATCCTGTGCCCAGCCAGATAGCCTACGCGCAAGATAAAAAGATAACATCAGATACAAACACTTCAACAGCACGATGTATCTATGGTCGAGGCGGCCACAAGAGCAACAAGCAGAACCTTATATCTCCCTCAACAGCCGAAGCGGAAAAAGATGAAGGGAAGAGTTGCATAATCCTAAATGCATTTTACATGTTTCATACCACGGTAATTCACAGAAGACACCATGGAAAACAAATACTCTGCTAACATCATCTACTTACCTTTCCTCTACAATTTAGTGTAATAAAACTATTGAGTTTGCTAATGCAAACTGTTTCTCGTAAGTTCACCTAAATCCACAACTGCACCACTGTAATGTATGCTTTTTATGGGCGAGTTTTGCGTTTGCAAGGTGGACAAGAAAAGACGGGTAGTAACGGCGTGCAATGTGTACTTATTGAATGAAACCTACAAGTTGCGCAAGAGGTCATGCTTTGTGGGTTTAATCTAAACAGTGTTACAGCTATAGACAGTCGTGCACGTTTATCTGAACAGGCGTGTGTGTAATAAGTTATCTCGTAACTGGGTTAGCGATTCTCGTATTTTTATATGCAGGGGGCCTGCATGGTCTCGAGATATGGAGTCCGTCTCGAGGACTAGAGGTTTCGGGTTCAATCTCCGGTAAGGACTTGGATTTTTCACGTGGACTTGGACGTCTAGTAATTTCCCCTGGTCTCTGGGTAAAGAGATCAGACGCCCGTGTGATTTGTTAAAAAAAAAAAAAATCCCTTGGCAGTTGGAAATCGAAAATAGTAGCCTAACGGCGCTGCCCGGACAAAATCTAGAGTTAAAAATGTACCCAAAGTATTTCAGGATCCTTGCCGGGGCTACAGAGCCTGTGCACTGTGCTGAGCTTGAGTGAGAAGAAGAACGGAGCACTTACGGGTTACTACCTTTGTGCCATGATGTTGATCCGTTGTTCAAACCTTAAGTAAGTAAAAAGTAAAGGACCCCTTCCCATGCCTTCAGGCGTATAGGGCATATAGGGCTAGACCTATATTTTATAGACCAATCGGCACAAGATGGGTGATGTGGTCAGCATCACACCGGCCACCTTTACTTCCCGGGACTGTTCCCGATACCCACTCAAGGCTGGGTCGACCTGGGATTCAAACCTCGAACTTCAAACTTAATATTTGTATATGAAAGGCCAGTTTCAATAGGGCTTTTTTAAGGGCAATTTTCAATTTGTTACACCTTCATCGTCAGCGTCTGTGGCTTAGGCGTTGCGAACGCGCTTCGTAATGCCGGGATGCCGGGCTCAATCCCAGCTGCAGACGATTTGTCTTGCGTTGGTGTCGACAGTGGTACCGAGAGCTAACCTTCAGTAAGCAGCTAACTACTGAATGTAAATTGTGCCTAGAAAAATCACAACAGCCCAAAAATGCTGGGGTTGGTTCTGCAACGTCCTGTAAAAGATACGCAACTAAAAAAAAAAAAGTCTTTATCAGGGGGCTACGGCATCACAGTGGCTAGACCGCTAGGTATGTGTTCGAATCACTTCGAATTGAGATGTCTTCACTGACTTGCGATACATAGTCAGTCGAAACATCTTAAAACCGAAAACGGAGCATTCTTCTTCTTCTTACGGTCCAAGTCCCGTGGCGTTGGTAATTATGTTTATCCACAACCTTCTATCATGTTTACTTTTAGCTTTGATATAGATGATCCTTGTGTCACACAGTCCAGCGTCTTCTTTCGCGGTCTCCATCCGTCTCGTTTTCCCTCCAACTTTCCCAGTGTCACGATGTACTCAAGTTTTCTACCTCCCATGACACGAGTAAAGAATGTAGATTGTCTCCTGCTTATGTGAGCAATTGGTTCCCTACGTGAGTTAGTTTCTTTCACTCCCCGTGTGGGTACCGGGGCCCTATTATGGGGAAAACAAGAATAGACCCACTGCCTACCCAAAAGCATGTCGTAAGAGTCGACTAATTGGGAGCTTTCTTCGAAGTCGGAGTGCATCTGCTTGAGAGGCAAGGAACCAACAGTCTGCACACATGAGTCAGATCTGTCAAACGGATGTACACGCAACATTCAGGTTCTGGAACAGGACTGCAGTCCAGAAGTGGACGAACAACCAGAACTGTCCACCAGAGTTTACAGTTGGTGAACGCAAAGAAGATAAAGAAGTTTCTTTCAATACATCTTCATTAATCATTTTCTCTTGCACGGTTCTGTCATAGTTCATCTATAAAAGCCCACCAATAAGTATGAGTAAAGTATACACAATTTTTTCATGGACTGAGCTCTGGACCAGATTTGTTGTCAAGCCACGGGTCAGGGCTAAAGGTTGTGGTAGTAGTAGGCTAGGGTGATACGGAGCGCATTTACATCCAGGAATTTAGCAGCCGCCTTCTTTATCCTTTTTAAAAGATGGTGGCCGTCTGACGTCACATGTGATTGGTTTTTTTTACGGCCGCTATAGTAGCGTCCCTCTTTATCCTTAGTAAATATAGATCGAGCGGCTAATGATGTCACGAGTGATTGGCTTTCCAAGCGGCTGTAGATACACGGTGGTAGTGTATAAATCGATACTTTGTAGGCGATTGTCTCCAAAGCGACGGGTGACTTTTTCGCCTATAGGTGCCGTTTGCCGGCGTTTTCTTTTTAGGGGATTGACTTGGTTTTAAGGAAGGCAAATCGATATTTGTTTAGTGCGGAACAAATTTGTGGTCACTGACAAAAGGGCGGGTGACTCATCTGCCACTCTGACATAGTGAGCAGGTAAAATGAAACGCTATAGCATTTTCTTTTCGCTAAGACAGAAAACATTATAAACAAACGTCACAATCAGTAGAGGTATACTGGACTGGCTGCTGCATCGGGGGACTGAACACACGCGAGAATGCTCAGTGCGCAGTGACGTCGACTGCGATAATATAACTTCTTTTTTCTTCTTCTTTCGTTTGATTGAAATAGACTATATCTGCAATGTAGTCTCTAGTATAAACTTCACTGTCTTTTGTAATTCACTCAGCGAACCGTAAAGTTTGGCTTGCACCAGTATTTCTCTTGGCCAAAAGTTTTGCCTTGATATGTTGTATTTGGGACAGACTTAAAAGACATGATCTGTTGTTTCAGGTGCCAATGCACATGTCAATCAAACAATCAGGTGCCGTCTCCACAATGAAGGTTGGCTGCAATGGATCTCCAACAAGCCCTGTCTCTTGCCCTTGATGTACACTCACTCATACTGCTGTTCGTCCATCTCTTGATGTTATCTTCCCACTTGTAGCGCTGTCTGCCTCTTGCTCGCCCACCTTGAACCTTTCCCTCTATTATGATCTTTACAATACTGTTGTCTTTTAATGTGACCAAAATATTTCACTTGTCTCTTTTTTATTTCACCTAGCAACCCTCTTTTCATTCCAAATTTCCTCAGTACCTCTGTATTTGATAGCTTTTGTTTCCATGAAATATGCACATATACACATTGCTGATTCGCCAACATAAGATAACAATTAACATATGGCCACGAGCCTGAAGTCAGGTGTTCTAACCACTGGGCTACACCGAGTGCCGATTGATCTATAAAAGACAGGTCTAGCCCTATATGCCCAATACGCCTAGTGACATAGAAATATATCTTTTTTTTTGCTTTCACATTCAACAAATTGTGGATAAACTGTTATGTCTTAGTGACTAACATACTTGTCTGCCGTCCTGGCTAGCCCATGAGATGTGATAATCTACAGAGTTCTCTATTATGGTAGTCAGAACAGAAGTACATGTGAGCTCATTGCAGGAGAATGAACGTTACTTAGGGCAGCAACGCCTAGGATATGAAAGTATCACATCTAGTTTGAGAAGAGAGATGGAGGCAATCACATCATCTTTCTGTTGGCTTGAGAATCATGTGTATACACATGTCGTCATTGTAACAGATTCACAGCAATGAAAACAGCTTTCCGTTGGCTTGAGAATCATGTGTATACACATGTCGTCATTGTAACAGATTTACAGCAATCAAAACAGCTTTCTGTTGGCTTGAGAATCATGTGTATACACATGTCGTCATTATAACAGATTCACTATAAATAAACAATGAGACACCTTTTTTGGGAGGTGCCGAGTTGACCATGTATCTTAGTGCACTTGTATTCATGGCGAGGCGCAGACGCCGTCTGGAGGTGACAGGTTCAATTCCCGTGCACGGTAACTAGCCTTCGATTTTTATGTTGTCTAGTGTGTTCTTCTATCTTTCTACTTCTTTCTATGAGTGCCGTTCACAATACTTTCTATTACTTGATTAATTCATAACAGATTCACAAACCATGCTCCGTGCAGAGTGACTGGCATTCTTTCAGAGGCCCCCGGTAGTTAGCGTTCTTTTGATATTTTTTCTGGATCAAGCAGTTGTGATGGGAAATAAATAGACAGATTTGCTTGTACTGCACCAACGGGGGTGGGGGTGGGGGTGTGTGTGTGGGGGGGGGGGGGGGAATGTTGAATCGACACATGACAAGCTTAAATGTGGTCAAGGCTTTTTAGATATAAAGGAACAATGGGGAACTTCGAATGGACCGTTATGTTGTGGAGAGAATGTGCAACAGGAACATACAAGAGAATCTGGCCGCTACTCTACTTTCAGAGGAAAGGCAAGAGCAACATATAATCTGCTACTGGTGCCATTAGCCAAGTAACACTTCACTGGCTGCCGATGGTGAGGACAGAGCACGTATGGGGATTTCCAGTGTTGTATTTTTTGTTTTTCTTCATTGTTTTGCTGATGAAGGTATTTCGCAGCAAGGCTGTTTTTTTCGTCTTCTGTATCTAGACCTGAAAAGCTGCCATATTTTTTGTCTTTTAATTTGTTCCAGCTATCAAGACATTGCTTACTTATGACCCCCCAAAAAAAGTGAAAAAATGCTATAAAGAACGAATTACAATCGGAAGAAAAAGTTTTTAATTCTCTAAATGAAAGATAGGCATAGCCATATGTGAAATTTTTGTGAAAACAAGTGTCAAATAGTAACAGAAAACACTCAACGTCATGCGACTACTTGAAACGAGCAGTTTGTTATTAAATAATACCGGGGTAATCTTTGAAAGTAAAAAAAAAAAAAAAAAGATCAATGTTCCAAAATCAAATAAAGAGAATGATTAAAAGAAAAGAAAAGAAAAAGAAATTCTGTTGTTAGTGACATATTATACACTGATGGAACTGTATACAATAATTATAACACTGCCTAATACTAAATTACAAAAGATGAACCAAAAAAACGGAACATGTAATCTCATTTTACCTTGCTGAAAATCGTCGAGTGCCTGCCAGGATTTTGCTGAGAACTGAGGGGAGAAGATGTTATTGATTAAAAGGAGAGTCCCCTTCAAGAATATGAAATTGTGGTAATGTTTATTTAAAAATTTTTTTTTTTTTTAATGTTTCTTTCCCTAACTGGGCCAGGTTGAACTCAGGATGGTTGATTCTTACTAAAAATATGTCCACAGAACTGTGCTTCTGCCTTCTCCTAGGGGTCTTTCCGAAATGTGAGTCCAATTTGGAGGACTAGACATGGCAGAATGATTAGCCTCGACGTTATTTTTGCTATTTTGCTATGCTAATGCAGTTTCCAGATATAAACGAAAGTCTACGGTTTCGTTGCCTTAGTTACTGAGTTAAGCGCTCGGTACAGCACTGTGAGCTGGGGTTTTTCCACGTGGAATTCTTTCATCTGTTCAATGGTTGAGTCGTAGTGTTCAATATATCCTCTAACTGGTTTAAGTGTGGGCTGGCGAAATACTTTATGTGATAATATTGCATGTGTATAACCAACTTGCGGCGTCCGTGGCTAAGGCGTTGCGAGTCCGACTCGTAAGCCAACATACCGCGATCGAAACCCACTGCAGGCTGCGTGGATTTTTGTCGTTATATGGGACGACGCAGGTCGACCCAGCCTAAAATGGGTACCAGGATGGGCTGTCCTGGGAAAGTAAAGATAGCCGGCGTAATGCTGACCACATTACCCACAGAGTGCTGAAGGCCTGTAAACATTTGGGACGCTCTGCCCATATGCCCGATGCGCCGAAAGGCGTGAAAAGGGATCTTTACTTTTTTTTTTTTTACTTTTTTTATAACCAACTTATCGTGACGGACTACTTCAGTTAACGACATACTGCGTTTCTGGTGACGACTATTCGTTTTGGTGCCTCTAGCAACTGCCTTGTGCATTTACTGCCTGTGCGTTTCTTGATTGTGTCAGAACTAATTGTTTGTTCACTGGTGTTTTGGTTGTTGTTTTTAAATAGGGCAGTGGTGGGCATTTAATTTGATTTTCACTTGGTCACGAACAGAGTAAGTATAGGGAAACCCAACTGCAGTGAAGTTGAAACCTCGGCTACAATTACTAAGACTACAACTTCATTGAAAGCTACAATAATACATTATCCAAAAATCAAAAAAGCAAAAAGAAAGATGACAATGGCTGAATTAGCAGCCATCTTGTGAGAATCATCTTTACTGATGTAAAGATCACATTTCGGACAAGTCATGTTGCAAGTATGGACTGTACAGTGATCACTACAAGTGTGATTCGGACACTGGCTAGTGCATGTTTCGTCCGTAGGGCACGAGCGTAGACGGCCCAGAAAATCTAATCCTTCTATCGTTTGGGACATGAGGCGAGTAATCCATAGATTGGCGTGTCCTTTCAGGCATGGGTGCTGCTTGAGTCCTTGCAGGACATCCCGACATTCAGGCCTGGAAAATAACAGAATGTCATGATAGTTTTAGATGTAAAACAAGAACTAATGACGTCACTACCACCATCTCCAGAACTACCATACCACCGTCACTACTACTACTATTACTACCACCACCGCCACAACCACCACTATTACTACCTCCACTACTACCACCACCACCGCCACCACCACCACCACCATCACTACTACTACCACTACTACTACCACCACGACCGCTACCACTAAAACTACTACCTTTACTACTACTACCACTACCACAACGTCTACCTGCTACCTATTATAACCTACCTACCTACCTACCACCACCACTACTACTATGGGGAAAAAATAACAACTGCTACGGCTAATACTCATACTACAGCTACTGCTATAACTAAAGCTGCTACTGCTACTATTCCTGCTGCTACTACTACTATTACAGATACTTCTACTACTGCTGCTGCTCTGTTACTACTACCGCCACCACCACCTCCACTACTACTACTACTATTACTACTACTACTACTACTACTACTACTACTATTACTTTACTACTATTACTACTACTACTACTACTACTACTACTACTACTACTACTACTACTACTACTACTACTACTACTACTACTACTACTACTACTACTACATCTACTACTACTACTACTACTACTGCTACTACTACTACTATTAGTTTACTACTACTACTACTACTACTACTACTACTACTACTACTACTACTACTACTACTATTACTTTACTACTATTACTACTACTACTACTACTACTACTACTACTACTACTACTACTACTACTACTACTACTACTACTACTACTAAAACTACTTCTACTACTACTACTACTACTGCTACTACTACTACTGCTACTACTACTACTGTTACTTTACTACTACTACTACTATTACTTTACTACTACTACTACTACTACTACTACTACTACTACTACTACTACTACTACTACTACTACTACTACTACTACTACTACTACTAAAACTACTTCTACTACTACTACTACTACTGCTACTACTACTACTGCTACTACTACTACTGTTACTTTACTACTACTACTACTGTTACTTTACTACTACTACTACTACTACTACTACTACTACTACTACTACTACTGCTACAACTACTACTACTACTACTACTACTACTACTACTACTACTACTACTACTACTACTACTACTACTACTACTACTACTACTACTACTACTACTATTACTTTACTACAACAACAACAACAACTACTACTACTATGACTACTACAACAACTACTACTACTATTACTACTAAAACGACTGCTACTACTACTGTGGTGGTAATATCAGTATTAGTAAGAGTCTTGGCTGTTGTGGTTTTTCTAGGCAAGTTTACGTCCAGTAGTTTGCTATTGTTTTTTGGACGGTCGGTTTCTTGATACCACTGTCGAAACCAACGCAAGGCCTGCAGCTTGGATCAAATCTGCACCTCGGCAGTACGTAACGGATTCTCAACGCCTAAGCCACATGCGCTGACATCAGTAATAGTCGCATTATGTGTAGTATTGCTAGTGTCGGAACTATTAGGAGTGGTGGTTTAAGGATACTAAAGTGAACAATTCAAACCTGCAGAATCCGTCCAGGTTACAGCTCTTGGTAACCTCAAACATCATTTTCCCCGTGGCCGGGTTGGAGACGTTGAGGAACTGAACCCAATCACATTGATCCATAGGCATTCCCATCTTCAAGTCACACGCAGAATAGGGCCCAAATGAAAAACACGCTGAAATAATACGTTCGTAATAATTATAATGTTATATAAAAAAAAAACGATTGCTGCTTACCTAGATGCAAAGAAACTGTCAACTCATTCGTTGAACTCTATTGTATTCTTGTCTGCAATTTGAATAATTTCTTTCATAATTTAACGAAAGATTTCGAATGCCACAATTATGAAGAAATTATGCCCCTTTTAGTATTGAAGCGGCTCCCCCCCCCCTCCCCCAGTAGAATATTATTAGCAGTCTCTGGCCAGTGGAAACGCAACGAATGTAAAGGTGTTGATTTAAATACATATTCTGGAAAAATTGGCGAATAGAAATAACAATCAATCATCAGGCCCTTTACACGTCTGACAGTCTCTTTTTCTCTAGCCAATTTTCCACCCACCTGTGTTTTCTTAGCCAATGATCTTCAATGTCCTTTACACGTCTGAAAGTCTCTTCTTCTCTAGCTTATGCTACACCCACCTGTGTTTTCTTAACCAATGATCTTCAATGTCCTGTACACGTCTGAAAGTCTCCTTTTTTCTAGCCAATTCTCCACCTCCCTGTGTTTTCTTAACCAATGATCTTCACTGTTCTGTACACGTCTGAAAGTCTCCTTTTTTCTAGCCAATTCTCCACCCGCCTGTGTTTTCTTAGCCAATAATCTTCACATTTCTGTATCCACCTCCGCTGAGGTCGACCTTTGCCCCGTTTTACAGAAACGGCACCATACGTCACGGTTCTCTCTAGACTCCCATGACATTTAATAGGGCCAAAATATATCAGCTTTCAGGCTAGGATGCTGACAATGAGCCGATTCTCTTTGGTATACCGGTGATGCAGGATGTCGAAGTCTTTCCTCTTCTTCTTGGTGCACGGTTTTCTCATAATTTGTCTGCAGAATGTCAATTCAAAAGCTCCCATCTTTTTCTTTAAAGACTGAGTGAGTCGATGACTCACATCCATAAGTTGCCATGGAAATGGTGCATGATTTTTTTTTAAACTTCAGCTTGCTTACGGGTGCTATGCAATATAAATAACTGAAAGATATTTAGTCACATCACCTTATTATGTCACTATAAGTTTCTTCTTCTGATTTCGTTCGATAAAAATGGATCTATATCTGCAATGTTGTCTCTAGTATAATTTCACTGTCTTTTGTTATTCACTCAGCGACTCGTAATGTTTGACTTCTCTTGGCCAGGAGTTTTGCGTTGATATGTTAAATTTAGAGCAGTCTTGGGGGTCCTGATCTGCTGTCTTAGGTGCGGATCCACATGTGCACATTGCTGATCTGCTGTCTTAGGTGCGGATCCACATGTGCACATTGCTGATCTGCTGTCTTAGGTGCGGATCCACATGTGCACATTGCTGATCTGCTGTCTTAGGTGCGGATCCACATGTGCACATTGCTGATCTGTTGTCTTAGGTGCGGATCCACATGTGCACATTGCTGAACTGTTGTCTTAGGTGCGGATCCACATGTGCACATTGCTGAACTGTTGTCTTAGGTGCGGATCCACATGTGCACATTGCTGAACTGTTGTCTTAGGTGCGGATCTACATGTGCACATTGCTGATCTGTTGTCTTAGGAGCGGATCCACATGTGCACATTGCTGATCTGCCAATCTTAAATTGTGTGTACAAATGACTGTAAAATGCGTTGTGTCCGGTTCTAATGCGTAGAAAATGACTTTCTCTGGGGTGTCCATAACATGATAATCATCTGGTGTCCGTTTTGATCGCTTTCTATTGATAAGAAACTGGTCCGTCAGGTTGTTCTTCATTTGATATGTTTTGCAAAATCCTAAACTTTTCACACCCCTACTGTTGTTTGTATTAGTTATGAGATCACAAGTGGCTTTCAAATAATTTATCACTACTACTAGCAGACAGTGGAGGATAAACAGGAGATAAATTATCTTCAGAATACGAACAATAAGTATGAGAGTGAGAAGGAGATGGGAGGATACACACATAAACACTGGAATGTTGCTGCCGAAGCCCTTATCAACGAGTAGCACAAAAAAACAAGAAGCCAAACCCTAGGCACCAGCCCAAACACCAGCTGTGCTGTAGTCACTGAGAATTTCTCAACTTATTTTGTCAGCCTCTGTAACTTAGGCGGTGCGAACGCGCTTCGTAATGCAGGAAGGACGAGTTTGATCTACGCTGCAGACGATGTGGCAGCAAACAGCCTTGCATTGGTGGCGACAGTGGTTCCGGGAGCCGACCATGTAGTCTACTGGCAAACTACTGAATGTAAATTTGCCTGGAGAAACTACAACAGCCAAACATGCTGGAATTGGTTTTGAGACGTCGTGTATAAGACACCCAACTAACTAAATATTATCTACAACATTTCCTATGATCCAGGGCCCTTTTGTGGAAAAAAAAAAACAACAAGAAAAGATCCACTGTCTACTCAAAAGCATGTCGTAAGAGTCGACTAATTGGACGCTTCTTTCGAAGTCGGAGTGCATCTGCCTAAGAGGCATGGAACACACAGTCTAAATTTTTAAAAAGTTATTTTAAAGCCCCACCCTGGCTTTTGCCGGGGGCCCTGAATATAGCCGGGCCATAAATATAGCCTAACGACTGAACGGGGTTTCCCGGACCGCTCCACGGGTGATTCTCATCCGCATGTTTTCACTTTGTGTCATCTGATTTTTATCGCTTGTGTGATGTCCTGGTGGAGTACTCTTACATACGTACATACAGTCTACAAACAAATGAGATTTGTAAAACGGATCTGCAAGCAACATTCAAGCTCTGGAACAGAACTATAATCCAGAAGTGGACGAACAACCACAACCACAGCTAGTAAACGCAAAGAAGAAGAAGAATGTACAACTTACTGTCGGTCACCAAAGCCTGTTTTGGATACATGGTGAGGAATCCGAAACACATTTCTTCGGAGGTGGCCTCGCCGTAGTAGACATAACGAGTTGAAGTCAGAGTGCTAAACACACAGGTTGTTCGTATCTCGTCACCAGGCAGCAGTTCAAAGGGTGGGTTGATCCTGGTCAAAGGTTAGAGGTCGTGTTTTAAAACCTGTGGCAGTAAATTTTGCGAATCCATGGCGGAAAACATTTCGAATCTATTGCAGTAAATATTTCGAATCTATTGCGGTAAATATTGAGAATCTATGGCGGTAGATATTTAGAATCTATGGCGGTAGATATTTAGAATCTATGGCGGTAGTTATTTCCAATCTATGGCGGTAAATATTTCGAATCTATGGCAGTAAATATTTCGAATCTATGGCGGTAAATATTTCGAATCTACGGCGGTAGTTATTTCTAATCTATGGCGGTAAATTTTTCCAATCTATGGCGGTAAATATTTCCAATCTATGGCGGTAAATTTGTCCAATCTATGGCGGTAAATATTTCCAATCTATGGCGGTAAATATTTTCAATCTATGGCGGTAAATATTTACAATCTATGTCGGTAAATATTTCGGTTCAAAAGTAAAGCAGAAAACCCCCTTCAAGCCCAACGGCGTATCGGAAATATGATGCCAGACTCGTATGGTTGTGAATCAGTCGGCACCCTGTGGGTAATGAGGTCAGAATCGTCCTTACTTCCCATGACTTGCTATCAGTTTTAGCCCTTATCAATCTGTGTCATTATGAGTCATCTAGGGCTCGCCGTTTTAGTTTTCTTCTATTCGATCCTGTTCTGATAACTTGTTTCAGTATCACGGTAAGGAGGCTGTTACTTTCAACCCCACTAGGACAGCACAACGAGCGATAAACCTAAGAATCACCTAAGTCCCAGAAACCCCATTCAACAGTTAGGGTATATTAGGGCCCCCGACTACAGCCGCGGTGTGGTTTTAAAATAAGGTTCGTTTACAGGACGTTGCAGAACCACTCTAACAGCCCCTGGCTGTTGTGTGGTTTTTCTAGGCAAATTTACGTCCAGTATTTTGCAATTGTTTTACTGGACGGTCGGCTTTCTTGATACCACTGTCGAAACCAACGCAAGGCGCATGGGCCGCAGCTGGGATCGAACCCCGCATTGCGAAGCGTTCGCTTCGACTTAGCCACAGAGCCGACGCTTTAAAATAACAACAAAAATTGCGTACCACATTATGACGAGGGTATAAGGGAAGTAATCCAACACAGCATCTTTGGTATCTTTTAGTATCTACTGTATATGGGAAGTAATTTAAACCGGTGAGACGTTAACGACACCACTCTATTTGAATGGGGATGATCGAACAAAAGTGAGTCTTGCATATTATGTCTGCCTACTTGTCCTAACTTTATAGCATTGAATATTGCCTTGTCAGCCTCCATCCAGATTGAGATTTACTTTCAAATCGCAGGACAAGTAGACCACAATTATAACCGACACTGCTCGCAGTAAGTTGACCGTAGTCAATTTTTTGTTTTGTTTTTCATAAATGGGTAGATTGATGAAAGGTATCTTCCAGTATCAGCTCCGAGTTGGCAAAGTGAAATGTGCCATGTGTGTGAGAATGAACATTATTTTTACTTTATTCTGATTAGTTTATTTTGATAATTTAAACATAATTGAATTATTTTGAAGAAATATTGAAAGAAACTGGCTCACGAGGAGAAGTGATTGCCCTCATCAGAAGGAGAAAATCTACATTCACGTGTCCCCTTGGCAGCACATCGTGACAGTTAGAGGGGACAATCTACATTCACGTGTCCCCTTGGCAGCACATCGTGACAGTTAGAGGGGACAATCTACATTCACGTGTCCCCTTGGCAGTACATTGTGACAGTTAGAGGGGACAATCTACATTCACGTGTCCCCTTGGCAGCACATCGTGACAGTTAGAGGGGACAATCTACATTCACGTGTCCCCTTGGCAGTACATTGTGACAGTTAGAGGGGACAATCTACATTCATGTGTCCCCTTGGCAGCACATCGTGACAGTTAGAGGGGACAATCTACATTCATGTGTCCCCTTGGCAGCACATCGTGACAGTTAGAGGGGACAATCTACATTCACGTGTCCCCTTGGCAGTATATCATTACAGTTGAAGGGGAAAACAGACAGAGGGAGCCAGTGAGAGGGAGAGAGAGAGAGAGAGAGAGAGAGAGAGAGAGAGAGAGAGAGAGAGAGAGAAAGAGAGAAAGAGAGAGAGAGAAAGAGAGAGAGAGAGAGAGAGAGGATGCTGGACAGTTTGACATCATGGCATGCAGGATCACCTGTGTCAGAACAGATTTAAAGTATACAAGAAGGAGGTTGTGGATGAACATGATCACCAACGCCACACGGCATGTGCTATTAGAAGAAGGCACGAGTGAGCTTACGGCCTAAGCAGCCTTTTCCACTTGTGCATCTGTACTATTTGACGAGAAGGACTCCATAGGGCAGCATACACAGCAGGGGTCCACCGTTCAACAGCAGAAAGATCCCTCGTCCATGATTGTTTTGGCCCATTACTTCCTAGACAACCTCAAAAGATTGGCCGACCTGGTTTATGACTCCAGGCCTCGATCTTACCCTGCCGCATTCTATCCGACTCTCGGACAGGGACAAGACGATATGGTGACTTTGCAACAGGTGCTGCGCGATTTGGTGTTAAATTGTCGCTTATCATTATCATGTAGCAGGTCCTTTGCAGAACGTCGCTCTCATCACGGTCTGCCTGAAAGAAACTAGGTCTTTCGCCAGCTCTCTCACCTCATGTACTTTCATACTCAATTAGTCACTTATATCCTGTGCCCATCTTCGTGTTGGTCGGCCCCTGCCAAATCTTCCTGGTACCATGCCTTCTGCTTTAACTTTTTCCAGTCCGTCGTGGCGATTCATATTGTCTCTTCGGTAGCAAAATAGCCGCAAAAACTAAAACAGCCAAAGATTACTGGGTTGGCTCTGCAAATTCCTGTAGTGGATACGCAACTAACTAACACTTATAGATGGCCTAAGCCCCCGCGAGACCACATTCTCCTAGAACACTATATAGTGCATGAGGTCTCCACTCTCTCCCCTTTCCAATGTTTTCTTTGTGTCACCGCCTCTGGAATCAAAGTAAAGATAAATATTCTTACACATGGTAAACCGGTGAGTCGTAACTGAAAGTGTCGTCCTTGGAGATGTCTATGACTTTGGCTCCGTCTCTGAATATTGCAACATTCATGCCCCGACCTGTCAGAGTTCAATAAGGGAAATAACTTAAAAATAACTATTAAGAGATTAAAACAAAAGCATACTAAGCTAAAACACTTTTACTCTGAATACGTGGGTACCCTAATAACAAATGGAATATGTATTAGTAAACTAAGTAAATGACAGTTTTTATGCTTTCAGGACTATTGGGCATACAAGTAAAGTCGTAAAGTAAAGATCTTTTTTCACGCCTTTAGGTGCATCGGGTATATTGGGAAAAGCGCCCACACTTTTAATATTAAGTCAAAGTCGTCCCCTTCAGGGATGCAGTTTTTCTTTATTTGAAGCACCACCCTGACTTTTGCCGGGGGTCCTGAAGATACCTGGCCCACAAATGTGGCCCTAACGGCTGAAAGAGGTTTCTGGGACCTCTTTATGGGTGATCCTCATCCGCATTGTGGCACTTTGTGTCACCGGGTGTTTATCGCTTGTGTGATGTCCTAGTGGGGTACAAAAAGCAAGCAAGCATTTTTCCACACTAATCGGTACTAGCTGGGTAATGTGGTCAGCATTACGCCGGTCGTCTTTATTTCCCCAGGACATACATCCTGGTGCCCATTTTAAGCTGGGTCGACCTGCGACGCCCCACACCATGGTAAAAATCTACGAAGCCAGCAGTGGGTTTCGATCGCGGTACGTTGGAATTACAAGTCGGACTCGCAGCGCCTGAGCCATTGACACCGCACTGGGCTTATAGAACAAGACATATCTTACAGACCTATCGGCACTCAGTGGGTGAGTGGTCAGCATCATCCCGACCGCCTTTACTTCCCAAGACTTTACCTGGCATCCATTCAAGGCCAAGTCATTTAAAAAATAAGTGAGGCTTGCTTCGGATTCGAACCAATGAGTTTCACACCTGCTGGTGGACACTTTGTCTCTACCCTACGGCGGCTCCCACGGAGGATGTATTAGATCATCATCATCATCCTCAGGTGCTTTGCCGACTAGCATGGGCGATCATGCCTCCATATAATCCACGATCTCCTGCAGCATGTATCAGTTAGTGCGTTGACACACCTCCATGCCATGCAACAAGACTGTCAAGAATCTTCTCTCGT